TTGACACACGCAACGGGTTGGAAGTCTCAACGACTGCAAGAACACAACAAACAAATTCAGTTTCCAGTTGGTGAGGGTTGGCATATATCGAATTTGTTTGGAGGTGACATCTGTAGAGAAGGCAAACATGTTTCTTCACTACACTTTTGAAAATAAAATAGCGAAACTTTCAGAACAGGTGTTAACGTGTCGACAACAAATTGCAGTCGATGAGGTTTGTTTGTCTGATCTATTTTGGAAGTGAAACCTACGGAGAAACAATACATTGTGTTCGGCAACCATTTTTCAGGATTCATTTGTTTGTGAGATGAAACACAACTTTGAGAAAACAATTTCATGTTGTCATCAAAATTGACGACAACAACTTGCGAGCAAAAGGCAAACCTTTTTTGGTTGCATGTGTGGAATAAACTTCAAGAACGCACCTTCATTGTATGGGGTGGCATGGGGACTACATAGTCTTGACCAGATTTTCATATGTTCTGGTGATGTTCCGCTTCGCATGACACACTAAAATACAATTAAAAACTGTCCAGACTGCAACTGAATATCGTTCTATATACATTGCCCAAAATGTCGATTACCGACCCCAGCCTGGCCAAACCCTGTTTTATGGTGCATTGGAATGCGTGGTTGGTCTTTTTTGTATACTTGCTAGCTTTTGAAAGTTGCATGTGGAATTCCAGTTTCTTCAATTGCAAATACACAATTCAGATTTCACAAAGTAGTGGGAACAAATACAGTGTTGCATCTCTACGGATTTCATGTCAAAACACAAAACAAGTTTCATCGACTGAAATTTGCTGTCGGTTGTTCTTTAATAGCAACTGACCTGTTCTGGAAACGCGGCTTATCCTCAAACAAAATTTTGTGAAAAAAATGAACCTCTGTCAGATTCATTCAGAAACTCCAGGTAAGAAAACCTCATCAGCTGCAAATTACTGTCCACAGCTATTGTTGGTGACAAGGTAAAGTTTTCAGTTTGCGGCCAACGTTAGGATGTTGAATACTTTGTGTATATGTTGATTAGTTACTTTTAGAAACATATGAACCGGAAGTAAATGCTTGTTCAAACTCTGCTGTCTTTTCAACCCTGAGCTCAAACGTCTCCAGCATTTGGAAGGTCCGGCACCCGGGCGCCAGCCCATTCCGGCGATGTTTAGCCAGCAGCTAGCTTTAGCTACGGGGGAGGTTCTCCCCCGCCACCGACCCCACCGCCCTCTGGGATTTGGCAGGACAAACGACTTCGCTCATAAGCTGCTTGAAGCTGCTTCCGGAGGTCGACTTTTGGAGCCTTAATCAATTTTTGCGCTATACTCACTAGCAAAAGCGGCTTCTCACCTTCTGGTCTTGAATGCGCTGACAACGTGCCCAGCTCCAAGCCATGCAAAGCTTTGCAGACCGACTCGCCATTCCAATCACTGCACTGGAGTCGCTTCGGCTACGGTGTGATGATGTTGTCGCTGGTCGCTTCCGGCTGCTGCTTTCCCAGGTGGCAGAGACATCATGCAACACAAATCTTGTAAAGCAGGGCCGGCATCCTCTTGCAACATGGGCTGGAATGTGTACTTTGTGCCTGAACTCGAACACTTGCAGGCGATTGAGCATCATGTCTAAATCGCATTGCTTGAGCCTGCCCTTCGAGGAGTTCTCTCGTGCTGTTGCCTTCGCTGGATTCTAAGTTCAAGCGTTCAAGCTGAAAAGGGTCTGCAAAGGGTCTCGAAACGCAGCATCCAACGAGAGAGCCCATAATCTTCATTGTCCTTAACATTAACATGTGGGCTTCCATATGTTTCCATAGTAGGCTTGACAAGCTTGGTTTTTGTTTTGTTTTTGCTTGTCGTGACAGATAGGGGTTGTCGAAGCAAACGGGGATCAAGAAGGCTGAAGCAGCGACTTGCAATGATCAGAGCCTCTGAGGTTACTTTGTGCAAGCTCAGGTCAGTCTGCAATGTGGTTATGAAAACAGGGTCATTCTTGCCGTAGCGCAGGTGACCGCTATACATGTTCTGCGGCCGCCCAATGGCAAGACTGGCCCCTTCAAACCAGAGCAATTGCACAGCCCGGGCACAATGTCCTCGTTGAACTCCAATCGTCCAACCACACTATATAATTAATCTGGCTTTTTCCACACCAAGTACTGGGCGGTGTCACAAAGACCCCTTCTCCATAAATCAAAGGGAGCAGCCGGAACAAAAATGTCCCTTCGTTGCCTTCAAAACCAGCTTGACACACTAAGATGCCTGAAACAACGAAGGACAGCCCGCAAGCAACTTAACACTCCAAACAATTGCGAACACAGTGTAGGAACAAACAACAGTTTGCTTTGGCTCCAAATGCAAAAAACGCATATATACAATGCTTGTTGGCTTGCCGAGATTCAAACACATCCGTATTTCCATCGTTGTTTGTTCCAATTAAAAACAACTATGACTATGACCGTGTTTGGTTTCTGAAAGCTTAACAAAACATTGACTGAACACATAGGTGCTATGATGGTGAAAAACATGCAATGCTTTGGAGTACCCTCGCACGCATGCGCAACACAAACAACAACCCATATTATGACATCGCCGGTCTGCGAGGCTCTACAATTACATGGTATCTATGATAATATCTGTATGACACAGTACTATGTGCGTATAATTGTGTATATAGTATATATACAGTATATATCTACACATCACATACATACTATATACCCATAATTAATTAGACCATGTCTCCAGTGATGTGTGAAGCATCCAAGAGATGCATGTATCCTGTGGGTTTCATTTTTTCTTCACTGAACGTGTGGATTTCGCCTGAAGGGTCCCCTCCCAACAGTTGTCCCACAGCCACTGCGAAGGCCTGGTAGAGCCTCCAAGCTCCATGGGTCCGGCCTCCAAGCTCCGGTGTTTCGTCTGGATACACGGGCTCTGGAGACACGGGTGGTTTAACCTAACAAAACCATAGGGCCCATACCATCCGATTTCTCTCCGGTTCATGGGCTGTTGGGATTGGTTTCCACATGAGCCGTGTGTCGAACGAAGGGACCCTCTGAGACAAAAATGGCTTCAACAGCCTTTTCTCGTTGCTACCACAGTGGTGCAGCGGATTTCATCCTACTATGCAAGATTCTCACAAGACATGCCCAAATCTGGTCACAACATGTTCAAGAAACTCAGCATGTGTTGCTGCTTGCTTCTCTGATGACCATCCCGATTCATTCCACAGAAAAAGACTAATTTTGAAGGATCACCAATGCGATCACCTAAGCTACTTTGTGCTGATCCTGTATGTCAGGTAAAAACCATTGGTGCAAAGAATCCGCGTGGTGTGCAAGGATATGTAGCCGTATACCCCTTCCTCTGAAGATTATGTCGGTCCAAGATTGCTTTACTTTCCTACAGGTCAACATGGAACCAAAAAACCAACCAATACCACTGGGTTGTAGCTTTCACGGGTCCATTCTCAGGATCCATGGGATCGTCTGAAAGCTCAAAGAATCCAGCTACTTTCAATTGGGAAAGGGATGGCCTGTAGGGCCTAGCACCTCTCAGTGCCCTCATATGTGTGTTTTCATGAATGGATAGGTCTAAATCTGCTGTCACGTTCGGAGCTGAGCCACAACATGTCCTGAATCTACAGCCATATTATTCATACAATGTCAAATAAAGTCCAGCAAATAATGAGAAGCAACTCCATCGTGCATACAACTTGAAGTTCTTCCAACGCCATTGGAAGCTTTGCCTTCGCCCCTCTCTCTCTCTATATATAGAGACACCCCAAATATATATATATATGTATACATAATCATAGATATTTGATGATATTAAGTTCAATAGCTGGTGGGTTTACGACTACAACCATCGAACGTGTTCCGTTACATTGTGCCCAGGCCTGTCCCCCCTCTGAGCGCCACACAAACCGTAGAAGGTAGGCCCAGAAGCCATGGATACCGAGAATGGAGCAAAAATGATTGGCTTCGGAGCGAACATCAATCTTGGTCTTCTATAGATGAATAAAGACATCCTGAAAAAGAAAGGAAGTGTTACATGATAGCACTTCAACATGCTTTCGACTCATTGACGAACAACTGGTTTCGCCCCAACAAGGAACCAGTCACCATGAGTCACCATGAGTCGCCCTGTCGATGTTGTTGCGACCCCGGTCGATGAGCGCCCAAAGACTCTGGGGGGGCACAGAGCGCCCAGGGCGACGCCTTTTGCCCCCCCCCCGCTTTTAAGCCGACATCTGCGGCGCGGAATCACACAAGCTGTAGAAACATATTCTTGGAAGAGAGGGCAACATTTTGCAGCTTATTTGCTGGACAGGACACTGTGTTTGGAGGCTTACTTGTTTGTCTTTTCCAACCCAATTACGCTGTTTGGTTTGTGATCACAGTCTGATAAAGCCTCAGAAGCCTCAAAGAACGAAACAGTCTGGTTTGTTTCGATGTACACTTAATTTTGTCAGTGGTCCAATTGGATTATACATTATCTTGTTAAACATAGTATGAAGGTCATTGCTGTAGGTATGACCGTATGACCGGATCACACTGGAAGGATTGGCTCGGTCCCTGGTCCGCCACGTTATGCTCCACCAAAAATGTGGTTGGCCAACTATGGTGACAGGGGCCACCTAGTTGGTGGTGCCAATATGTCACTCATTAGTAGTGCCTAAATTCAACCATGGTTAGTGCCACTATAGTTAGCGAATAGTTCATGTTTGCTCAACCAGTTTCCTCTTGGGCAACCCAATTTGGTGTCAAATGAAAATGCCTTCTGCTTCAACGAGCTCGGCACGGCTCTCGCATCTTCTAAATAATGAAGCCGCATGAAGCTGGGCATTGACCCACCATTCGGGTATAGCGGCCCCACCAGGTACGTCGCAGAGGTCCAACGTTTCGTCAGATCTTCCTCCCACGTGCTCCCGTTCGACTATCTCGACCTGTTCTTTTATCGCGCCGGTGCATGCCGCTGCGATTGCACCGGATCTTTTTGGAGCCATTCCGATCTTCAGCTTGGCTCTCCCATTGCTTGGATCAAATCCTTCAAGGTCACGGAGAAGGACACCAAACCACCAATGACCTAAGAGACCGGCGAAAGGGCAAAAGGTCTGGCGGACATGGACGTTGCTTCCCATGTTTCATCTCTCAAACACTAGTGCATCAAAACACGGGAAGTGAGAACATTCTTCAGATAGGATACCCAGTACCCAAATGGTCCACTCGGAGTCCATCATTCACAAAGCTCCAAATGTGCACGACTGAATATCTTTGCACTCAAAAAAGCTTTTTGGAGTTAAACAAAACTGGGTATTGTCATAAGTCGTGGTGTGCGTAGTCTAGTGCTGCCTAAACAAGATAGGCATCACCCCCCTTAAACTTTAAGCATGCATGCAATGCATACATGGTATGATACAGTCATATAACTAGTCATATATTACATATATATAAACTGATCGAAACGCGGACATCGCGGCCGTGGCCACCAACATATATAATTCATTATAATTCAACAGATTCCCAACCCTAGCCATCCAGGCAGCTCCAAAGGCAATGATGCACAGGTCTTTCACGTCGCCACCTGAGAAGTCTCTCGGCAAAGATAACCACACATGAAGAAGGTGAGGCGAAGGAATGGATCACATGTTGGGGGGGGTGTCAGAAACTAGTCAAACATGCCATTGAACGGTCCATCATGTCACAGGGGCGTGTGATTTTATCCGGAATTTTGGATGAACCAACAAGGGGCGTATGACAAATGATACACACTTGGGATTTCTTCAGCCAGCTGAACATGGTGGTGTGCCAGGCAGGGAAATGACCATGAGTTGATTCAATTACCAGTGGTGACCACTGCTTCCAAACAGGAAAGACCTCAAGGCCTGGCTCCTTACATGAGAACTGGAATCCACTCAGATCTGATTTCATAAAGTAGACGAGCATAGCCACAGCTTACAGTAGATTGAACATCTCATGCACTCATACTCATCTAGTCATCTATACACGGAGATAATGAATGTGATTTCCTGATTGTTACTAGTAGCTTCATGTTACTACTAGTAAGGCACCTGTTACTACTAGCGTGGCACTTGTTACTAATAGGGAACCTACTAGCTTCCTACCCCCCCCCCCCGCGCGGGCGCGCGCGCGAAAAGGTCCTAGTAGATTCCTTTGCTAGTAATTAGAATTCTACTAGGAACAAGTGCCTCGCTAGTAGTAACAAGTGCCTTACTGGTAGTAACAAGAAGCTATTAATTTAAACTTAATTTAAATTTACTTCTAATAGCTTGTGGTTACTACTAGTAAGGCACCTGTTACTCTAGCGATACACCTGTTACTACTTGCTTTCGTCTTCGCCCAAAGTTCGGTCCTGAGATGTCCTGAGATGTCCCGATGATCCCCGACCGTGCCTCGACTGGCATCCGAGCGGTCTTTGCGCCGGAAGTGCAGCAGGGCAGGCAGCACGAAGGCCAACATGGAACAGGCCTCGGCGCCAGCATCAATGTGGGTGGCAGTCGAGTGCTTTTGAGTAGGTGAAGGATGGTGAAGGTGGGTGTGGAGGAAATGGTTTGAAAGAAGCCGAGATGTTGAAGACAGGATTGGTGGTCTTGAGGGATGGGACAATGAGAATTAAATAAGACTAGCGACCTAGAACACCATCTTTCTAATTGGTCTATTACTTTTAAAGTGTCCTGCACTCGTACTTCTGAGATCTCCTTGTAGATTCCTGAGCCGGTAGGTCGAGCAAGCATGAGCAAGCCTGTTTGGACCTCAAAGCACTTGATGTTCTCATTCTTGTGGGACCCTTGGGTCCTACTTATTAGATTAAAACTAGTCCTCCTGTGCAAAAGCCTGGATAACACCTGCCTTGAACAACTGTCAGAACTCATGGCTCACATTTCAAAGCCTCCTGCTGGCTACCCTATGTATATATATATATAAACCACCTGGGATTTGAGTTAGGTCAGCCAAGTTTCATCCTACATAGACATCTTGTATGCACCTCTCTTTCAGAGGTGGTGCTCCTCATCCAGCAAAACCTCGTGCGTCGCCCCAGTCCAAAAACCCTTGGGAAGTTCAACCTTTGCAAACGACAACCCAGGACCCAGTCGTCCTGACCTCGCCCCACCGGTTTTGGGCACCGACCGGCCCGCATTTCGACTCGACCCATCTTCCCAGGCACCAGGGATCCAATGATCCCCAGAAAGAGGCCGAAGTGCGGAATCTGCAAGCCTTCGGGTCACCCGAAGGACGCCACTCCCGACGGAAGGAGCGTGGTGAAAAAGACCAGGCACCAGGTATTCAGGAATCCGTCCGAATTCGAGGTCTAGGCGAACGCCTTTCGGAACACCTACCAGGTTTTTGAAGCTCCTGGTTTTGAAGCACAGCCACTGTAGGAAATCAGGGTTTCTAGCTTGTTTAGCCATTGATGACTTGGTGGCAGCAGTCCTGTCTTGAAACACAATACCCAGTCACACTACAGAGGTGGGACAGTTCTGTTCACCCACAATATCTTCGGTACAGGACTACGTATACTGTGATGGAACATCTTCAGTGGAATCTATGTATCAGTATTGGTTGGCAACGAACAAGTGAATCTTCAGTTGTCGCAATGAGTCAATTACTTGCCAACAACTGTCGTTGGGCGTTGCGACAAATGGAAACCATTGAGCTTCGCAAATTGTCTACAGTAGAATGGGATACACCCATGATGAACTCAAACCTTGGTTTCCACCCGAGAACGGCTCTGGCTTGCGGAGAGCATGGAGATGCCATCCCCAAAATAAGAACCTCACGCATTGGAAGGACAACCAGTGGACCCCCACCCCCATCGCCCCCCCCCCCTTCTCTCCCCCACCCCAAATATTCACCCCAAAGCCCTGCAACAACCGAGAGGCCGATCACTCCAGTCATGATCACCAATCTGGGGGCACAGGGCGGCTGAAGTAGTGTTGATGGACAGATGGTCAACATTAAAAGAAGTACCGATGGAAGTGCTCATGTTGACTGTTTATTAAAAGGGCCAGTGTACCTGGAAAGTCAACATCTCATATCCATGGGGATTGTTATGCTCCGAGGCCAAACCTATCCTGTTGACACTTGGTCGTGAAGATGCTAAGAACCATCATAAATCCCGTCCCGAACGCCTCACAAATGATGTCGCTTAGGAATCTACAGGTAGGTCCCGACAGGGCCAAACCTCCTTTCCACACCCACAAAGGAAAGGCGAGGTGGACCTACTAGAGTGCACACATATAAAAAATGAAAACCAGTGGACCTTGTTGATTGAAACTCATGTCAATGTAGTCCATGTCCTTATGAATTTGGAGTCAGAGGCCCACACCTATACAAACCCTGAGGTCAACGTGCAAGAAATCAATAGTCCCGTCAGTTTTCACACAGAATACTTTTCGGTATCTGGCTTTGACCCAAACTGCTAGTGGTTAGAGAGAGGACATGAGAGGGCTATATAATGCTATATATATATATATATACTGCCTGGTCGTCTGCTGGTCAGAATTCAACATTGCCTGCAACTGAGCAAGCGACTCCTGGTTGCTTTTGTTTTTCTTTGTATTCTCTGCTTCTGAGTGTAAATACTCCAACATGAAAAGGGATGGCCTGTCCAAACCTGGACACCCGGTCCTCCGTCCCTTGCCCAAAGAGAGCGCGCGCGTTTCCTTGAAGAACTGACATTGAGGGTGCCATCCAGGGTGCCATGACCCATACATCCCACAGCCTCACCTTTTCCTTAGCCGAAACACGTGGAACGGAAGATGATGCGCCGCCAGCAGTAGCGCTGGTCGCGGAGGCAGCGGATCTTCCTCGGAGGCATCAAATAGCAAACGAGATGTCCTGAGATGAAGTTTGGTGGTCCTGGATTGGTGCTTTTAAATTGCAACACGGCATTTGAATGTGCTTGGTGCCATTCACTGTTCACGTGTGTAATATATAGTCCATATATATAACTATATATATTTGACTCTTTAAAGTCACATGGAGTATCAAACATATATTCCTGCCTGTCAATGCCTGTCAGCCCACCTTCCAACTTACGATGATTTATATACCACGTTCTGATCATGTTGTTGCTCCACCAAATCCTGCACCCGAAGCATGCCATGGGAAACTTCAAGGTCAATATCAATCAACATAAAACTTGGGTACAATATCCTGGATTACTCTGACATGCTCTGGCTTCCACACTATTGTCACACCAAACTTGTGGAAAATCCGTTTGGACACGGAGTATCGCCTTTCCTTGCAGCTTGTTTTCTGGGAACCTTCCCCGCTATGACTCCAGGTGACGCTTCGGTGATCTGGTAGAGCGGAAACAGCATCACTGGATACCTCAGCCAGACCCATGGCCCCACTGGACCAGTCGGACCATTCTCCGATGTCGAAACGAAGCGCAAATGGATGCAAATGGTTGATTGCTTTTGGGGGGTAACTACAACATGATGATCAACGTTCACGGGGGCAATGCTTCTGCGCTTTGGATGAATCTGCTCTGCAATCTTTCAGGTCCCACGTACCGCTCTGTAGAGGTGGCAACCATGATCACTCTAAAGCTACGTTCTAGAAGGGTCGTTCTGACCGTTTGGACAGGACAAGATGGGTCGTTCAGCTCACCACCGGCCGAACGTTCGGAGTTCCAATACGTGTCGCTTCACACCTCTCAGCTCAAACTCTCATCTCAACAGGATGCCCTCTCTCAGGTACGGTTATGTAGACTTTTGAAAAAAAAAAAAAAACTCCCCCATACGTAGAGGATCGTAGAGGTGTTTCAATTCGAGGGGTTATTAATCGAGAGTCTACAGTAGAGTCCCAGGACGTAGCAACAAAGTTCCCACTCCGGTCGTTTGGTGACCGTGTGACCGTCCAGAGTCTTTGCTAAGCCCCCGTTGGCGCTGGAATGGCCTAAACAAAATGAAGCTTTTTCATGTCTTCGTTGTCAGAAGCTTTTGTTTAGCAATGTAATCCACTGGGTATGGGTTGGATCCAGTGGACGTAATGTTTAATATCCTTGTTGTATGGGTTGGATTGCATTGATGATTACATCCACTTTTCCTGTGTGTGCGGTTTCAGCTATGAGAGTTGGTGATTGCACTTCAGGCCAAGTCTTTCCCCTGCAAAGAAGTATTTCCAACCTTTCTCCTCTTCTTTTTGGTCGCGCATGGCATGTCCAATGATCCCTCATGTTTCCCGTCGAACCTGAGTCACACGGAGTCGTTTCACACGGAGTTGTTTTGACGCGGCGAGTGGCGTGAAGAAAATGCCGAGGCCTCAGACGTCGACGGGGCGCACCCCGACTCCGGACTGGCGGGAGACCCCCGATTCTGGAGAATCCGAAGGAGGGCTTCTTACCATGGCCCTTTCCTATCAGATATCAAAAGATTGCCCTTTCCGATGGAGTTAAATTGATTGAAAGACATGTTTGTTCATCCACTTGTTGATCCAACACCTCTGTCCTTGCCCGATAGCATTGTTCCCACTCAGTTCTCCAGGGCATTGCTTGAGTCGCACCTGTACGCTGGTCACAGTTGCACACGTGGGTTGCCCATGTCAATCCCTTATGTCCATCCCAGTCCTTCTTGAACAGAGGTGTCTGATATAGACCTTTTAAGGTGAATCAGGTGTGTTCATTTCAGGTGAGTCTGTATCGTGATGTCTGCTTCGTGTGGCGTGACACTCTGAAAACTTAAGAAACAAAACATGTCGTGACTCGTGTCCGGGCTTAGATCTGGGCACCACTCTCTCTGTTGCTTCTGAATGCTACGGACCTAGGGCCCGGGCAATAAAAGAGCCTCAGGAAGGAGGTGATCTTGTTCTGTGGGATGTTAAAAGTGATCCTCAGGTCAGAATCAGCAGGTGAATGTATAGAGAGTGGCCTGAATTATCAGTGTGTTGTGATTTTTACCCAAGGTGCAGTGTTTTGAGTTCGATATAACTGCACAAGCCTCAGAATAAGAAGACCCAGATACCCACGGCGGTACGAGAAGGTAGCTGAACACGCACTTGGTGGGGTTCCGCCCAACTACAGTACTTCACATAGATCAATCCAATTACGCGAGCTCTGCTTCCACTCAATACATTGATGTATTTTCTCGAATGTAAAGCTTCAGTTGCTTGACGTGTCCTGAACAACTCCAAGGTTTTCAAAACGCAGCCACCAGAAGCATCGCAGCACAAACACAGCGAGTTTCAGGAGTGTGTCAATGAGAAGAATAGAGAGGGAACCCGATTTGGCCTTGCAATCCAATGGCTGCATCACCTCTCATGACCGAAACTATGCTGAAACAGCTAATCCGGAGCCACCTGGTTCGTGAGAATTTGGTTGCAATTCCAAAGAGGTCGGCTTTCCAACCGGGGACACCCTAAAACACTTTGGATGAACAATGAGGGCTTAAATGGGGGCAAGTTGATTCGATCCGGACCAGCATTCACATGGGAGGAAAACGCCACATGCTCAATCCCGGTTTTGGAGGTGGCCATGGCTGCCATGGCTCAAACTAGGGTACCCAAGTAAACACATATAAAATGTCAGTATCATACTACAAAAGCTTATGGTTCCCGGCCTTTATTCTTTCATCCCCAAAGAGAATAGAGAGGTGAGAGCAGTCCTGATCTTCCAAGGAGCATATCTTTCGTCTCAAGACCTCGAGGCTTCGGAACTGCTTCGTTTTTTCGGCCAAAACTCAGTACTCCTGAAATGCTGTTCAGTGAATCATGTAGTGTATGAGTTTACAATGTGTACAATGTCACATGATTCAGCGGAGTTGGGTAGCTCAACAATGATGAGGATGTGATTTGTTGGGCATGTCATGCAAGTGCACTGTAACTGTATGCAATATCCCAAGGCCCTACACTGAGGCAAACATGCTGGCCCCAACCAAGCGGCCATAAGCAGCATAGCCGCACATGCCGAAGGAACCAAACAGGGTCCCCAAGATGAGCCTCGGAGAATTGTTTGCATTGGGTCTGTAGCCAAAACCGTGTTAAGTTCGGAAACACCCGAGGGATCCCGAGAGTAATCATCAACAAACTAACGTTGTTGGTCCAATATTGCCATGGCTGCAGGTTAGTGTGTATCAGCACACAGTGGAAAAGTAGAATGACTGCCACGAAGATTGCTGTTGAGAAGTCTTCGGCACTCTGTCAGCTCATGAAGTTCATTCAGCCAGGTTTTAATATATAACATTGCACACGACTACCCACGTCCACCATTCAATGATTTGTTTCATGTTCCATGATGTATTGATCATATATGGTCCCTTGTCAAACCCTTCAATGTTCCTGCATGTCACGTCGCTTCAATGTTGCTTTACTTCCCTGTCAATGTCCATTCAAAATTGTTCATTTTCTCTAGTTTTGTTCATTTTTGTCCATTAATGCCAGTTACAATTCCTTATTTGCATTTTTTTTTCACCTTTAGGACCCTTTCAAGTTTCTGTAATTTCCCTGTAACGATCAACTTTTCTGTCAAAATGTTTCGCAATCGAAGAAGCGACAGTAGTGTTGCAATGTCAGTTCAAAAGAAGGCACCCCAAAGACCACAGCAAACCCTTGAAGCAAGCTTCATGACTTTGGTTGAGTGCCCATGTGCGCTTTCCCCTCTCCCGCTCCCGCATACAAGCCGTTGTTGCCTGGAGGACGCGTTGGGCTAGGAGAAGGCAATTGACGAATCCCTTTCTCGTGGATACTGGTTGGCCTGCCTGCAACCACCAGGGCGGCATGGTGTGAGTGCGTGAGTGAAAGGCAGGGCGCATCAAAAGACTCCCCCAACCCCTAAGAGCGAGGAGAACATGCGAGAGCGTGCCACAGCCTGGCTTTGTAGCGAACCTCACGTTCATGCAGCGTTGCCTTGATTGAGCGGTCCAAGTTTGTCGGCATATCCATTGCTCAGTTCAAGCAATCTTGTTCCAATAATCCAAGAGGCTTGAATGCTAGCCAAGCGCCCGACCAGAAGAACAACTATGGCATGAAAAGCAACATCAGGATGCATTTCTCAATTGACGCAGTATCCTCCGATCGCTGCTTCACCATCGTTTTAACCGATGTGGCCGTGGCAGTGATGCATCACTTTAAATATATAGTATAGTGGCATCCTGGTTGAGCACCTGCCAACACAGAATCAAAGAAGGCTCAATGGTTCAGCCCTCCACAAATCCCAAGCTAATGACAGGGTGTCAGGAAAATGAGCGAGAGCCACAGTGTCGCTCCACACATTCCACTCTCCAAGCCGCGCGCTATTTTCTCAGTCAGAGACTGTCAACCTGGGGGTATGAGGCCCACGGATCAGTGTCGCACAGATCACCAACATGGCCAAGACAGAACATCAGCAATGGAGGGCAGTAACACCCGCTAGTTTTAGGGACGCGGGCGGGACAAAAATCAAGCAACCGTAGTGCCAACACTGGACAACCAGTGACATCACAGTAACGCACTGCCGTCTAAAGCAAACACATGCATGTTGTCTCAAACAATATGCATGAACTTAAAAGGGCTTCAATTTCACAATCCCAAAATAAGAACAGGGCCACGAACCTAATTAAGCCCCATCATTCAGAACAAAGGACCGAAGTCAGAAAGGTGCCAGGGGTTCTCCAACCTACAAAGGAGGGGGAAGACAAAGCAGGTGACACTAACCCCGGTCCAAACATCTTCAATAAAGCAAGCAATGAAATTTTGACATGAAGACTAGGCCTAGGCTTCCGCATGCCCAAATAAGCTGCTACTGGTATCACCTAGCAAAAAAAAATGCAATAAAGATTCATAAGCTGAATGAGCCAAATGTGGCCGTGGTTCAATTGTGGTTCCAGTTGCTTCAACGTCAAGCTTCTCTGCCTTCAAAGGGTGACTAAGTGAAAGCCATCCAACTACTCAGTAGTTAACCTGGTGGAGGACACTCAAAACCTTGAATCTGATGGCAAGTTGTTCATATCTGTGACGGACATCTTCTTCTGGATCGTTTTCGTTGAACTCTTCCCAATGTCTTCATCCACACTCCTGGAATATGAGTGTATGCGGCAGAGAAACAGGTACAGTACAAGTAGATGGTAGATGGGAAAGAGCAGCACTTCCACACCCTGGCAAATGTTCACCTTAAATCATCTTGAAACCTCCTGGTGATCACGTCCAACTTCTCCAAGTTGCATCGCCCGCTGCAAGATCTTCGGGAACTTGGCCGGCTGCCTCGAAGTGAGTGAGTTCCGGGGCTCCGTCGGTGTCACCGAATTCGAAGCACTAGTCGACAGAGCCCAAACGAGGACTGGTATCCTCCACACTGCACGAACGCAAAAAGAAGAACCACCAGTCCCATGTCCCACTCCCACTCCACAAACACACTATTACCACTGCCCGTATGACTATCACTACGACTGCTACTGCTACTGCTGCTGCTGCTGCTCCTGGTGCTGCTGCTGCTGCTGCTGCTACTACTACTACTACTACTAGAATAACAATTTTCTGGACTATAATTTATATTCCTGCTGCTATTGCTGACACATACTTCAGAAAGTTTTTGGGAGCAAATACAATGACATGGGAACAGTGGGCAAAACACTGAAGTCGTTGGTGGCCTGTTGACCCTTGTTGATCATTCACACCGCTTGTTTTCTGTGGACAATGGAACTCAGCCAGGGCACTGCATGGCAAACTGTATCGGAAGGATCAAGCCTGACAAAGCAAACGTGAGTCAGTGCATCAGGTTTGCCATGAATGATTAGGTGCTCGCCTTACATGATTGTCCTTTTCATATGTTTTCATCTAATGTTCCCAACAACACGTCGGGTCCCTCCACCTGGGGGTCCCTGCCAACCCCTTCGAAGGAAAACACAGCGCCTTGGGAGGGACGGAGATCGGTGCATCATAGATGGATTGAGAAGAGATCAAAGATGACACCTAAAACTGCCATGATTTATCGGATTGTCCTGGTATTGTCATGCTACGGTGGTCTATCCTGGAGCCAGGTGGCACAACCTGGGCAAGCTATTGCAGTCAAATGAAGAATCCCAAGACACCACAATGTCATCAAACTTACGAGTATTTATGAACGGTATATCTTAAAATCTCCCTATCAGTCACTCCATTTCCAGGGTTTTGTGAGACGTTTGCAAGTTCCAATCATCCACTCCAATTCGCGCCAGCCCAGGCACAGCCAAAGAAAATCGGAAACTCCGCCCAGTTGAAGGAGACAATGCCCGGAGCTATGCCGTGAGTGCCTACGAACCAACCGAGCCCGCCGAGGTCACCGGTTACCGACCAGTCACCGGTGCTCCGCACGAGCACCAGTGTTCTCCGGGAGCGAGTACTGCCCGGTGGTTGGCCACTTCTCCAGGAGCAACGATTGGAGCAACTCGTTGGAAGCCTATTGTTGGAGATCGTTTTGTTCTCTTGGATCGATGGTTCTTCTCAAGCAAGGTTTTTAAAGATGCCGGTCGCCTGAAGGGTGCCAGCATTCGATCTGATGTAGATTGATGGAGCCCAAATATCGGATCAGGACCCAACTGTTGAAGACCATTCCGCTACAACACATGTGTCACTCTGTGGAAACTGTCTTGCCCGTCTCAATTCGGTCAAGAATTGTCACAGACTGTCACATGTGTCCAAAAAAACGTAGAGGCCCCCCCAAAAAAACCTGGAACGAACTGGCCGGGTCACTGGAGCGCTCTCTCTACCGCTCTGCTGGTTCCCAAAACGTCAAGCGAACAAGTTTGAACCAACTACATGACGATCCACACACTCAGCTTGATACAACCACAATTGAGTTATCCCTCAGCCCAGCAGTAATAAGGACATCATCATGAATTATTCCCCACGTTCTACGGATGGAATATCCTGTGGGTCTCGGTCTCTGCCCACCACGCCCACCTCTCTTTTTGTGCCACCCATCGGCCAACGATGGGCTCGGTGACGCCCATCGAGCCTAGTTGTACGAAGCTGCAGTAGTAGATCCACGAGATGCCACACCTCGGGGCATCCACGATGGGTCCATGAGAATCTGCACCCTTTGAGGGCACACCCTAGCGATGGTTGGGTAGTCCTCCAAAAGAAGCACGAACTTAACACACAAACAACGAGGACAGTTGTGACCCCTCAAATGACACCTTCGTATGAAAGGTTCGACCTGCCCAAAGATATGGCGAAACAGGGAAAACATGCCAAAACCTACAGGAATGAATACCACAAATGCTTCGATTCTCAGATCTTGGGGATGCCACATGAGCTGGCAAAAAAGAATGCATTTATTATAACACTTAATTACGGTATATTAGAAACTATTAGACATTATAAATATCATTGTTGTATCAATGATATCTTTACTTCACATGTGAAAGTATGTCATAATACATCATAATACGCTGTAAAGCCGACTTGGGACAAACATCCCCGTTTCCTTCAAAATGCACATCCTCGATCACATGCAACAAGACTGCTTTTGGGGATTCTCCACCAAACATTCAACCCTGCCACACGGAGAAACTCTCTCTATATATATATATCATAATCTGAATCGCAGTGAATTGCATAAATGTACATTCCTAAAAAGGCCGTTGACACCAACCAAGATCAAACTAGAACCATTTTCAGGAACCCTCATAGATGCGAGCTTCTTGAGGATTTTCTGTGCTCCCGATGTCTGACGCCAAGCGTCAACAACACCACGTTTGACATCAGGACTGGGACCGTCAGTACCTGAAAAAAACGTGGGAAGAGCGGGGCCTCTCTATGTTCGGACACAAAGCTGTCAACAAAGCTTTATCTCATTCCTTCAATTGAGAATAACACAGATTCTTCAGATTCAGAAAATCACCTAGTGTATGGGTTGCAGCAGGAAACTATTTGAGGTTTGGGAACTGTTGGTACGAGAACCCTGTCGAAATTATTGGCAATGCATGGGCCAGTTCAACATTCAACTGCTGTAGGGTGGATGCATAAATAATTGTTTGAATCTACAAACCGATCTTGACATGTACGTCCTGAGTTCAAAAAAACAGTGTTCTAGTGACTCTAGTGTCCGCATGTCAATATGTTCATTAGAGCCCCATGGAAATGGACCATGCTTTAAATTGGATCTAACCATTGAAGTCGCCTGTCGCCTGTTTTCAACACCAAAAATTGGAAAAACACATGAATAAACTCTAGCTGTGGTGTTTACTTAAAGATCAATCCCTGACTTTTCTTCTATCCTATCGAACGGCGCCGCGACACCTGCAAAGACCGAAGCCACGTGAAGGGCAACACACAGATCCTCAGGGAGCGCTCCGAAGCCGCCGTTCCGGGCTGAGCGTTGGCAGCCCGGAACGGCTTTGGACTCGTCTTTATTTGTGTGTTTTTGTTTTTTGAGTTTTTTAAGCTACAAGCTGGCCATCCTGGCTATGTTTCTTTGGCTCGAAGCATCACTGGAGGTTTCAATCTCCCAGCTCCGAAGCCACGGTTTCAACTTGAAGAATGTTGAAACCAAGAAGATGGTGCCACTGAGGCTAGGTCGGTGATGAACATGCCAGGCTACAGGGAGGAATCATTGCATACAACATCATACACAACTATGTATATATATATATACAAATCAACAGGCTCACACTTTCCCAAAAGTTTGCACAATCTCGAACAAAGTCAAGGCTTCCAACAAAGAGGTGAATGTGACTTTAACGCTCAAATGCTTGCTTGGTGAGATCCACCGTTCTCCTATCCTTGCCAGCGTTCTCCTACGACGGACAAGCTTCTGCCGTATGTTCCCTTTACCACAGACATTGCATACCAACCCTGTCAGTCACCCTGTCAGGTGAGTGAGGGTCTCTTGGTCTCAAACGTCAGCAGTTGTCTTCTCGCAGACTTCTGCTTTTTCGCAGACTTCATCTTAGTATGGTATTATCTGTCTCACCCTGAAAGGTACACAAAGGTTATTGTATAGCAAGACACATGTCAAAACTCATATCAGAGCATATCAGAACACATGTCAATACTGTCAGATTAGACGTCTCAATCCGGCAGTGCATGCACCAAGAGCCTGCTCCGAAAAACAGCCATTCCAGTGCCACACGTTCGGAGCAAAACACTGAGGGAGTGTGCCACCCTTCAACGGGGAGGCTACTGAATGCATCTGAATTCTACTCTAGTAGTTTTTGTTACTAATAGCGATGGCCTCCACCCAATAGCGTTCTTGCTACTTCACTTGGGTGTGTTGCCCAATCGGCCCACAATCCGAGTGACGGACCCCAGCCAAGACTGTTGATGATTTGACCATCGTTTTCCCAAAAGTGGCTGTTCTGATTGCCCACATGGGACAATGGGACGTCTACTGCCGAAGCGGTCTTGCTTGACAAGGCCCATGTCATGAAGATGTGCACAGTAGAGCTCTCCAGTTACGCGCTTGCCACACCAGTGAACACTTTGGGCTCTGGAAATTGGGCAAGTTCCAAAGAAACGGCCAGCTTCCACCACGCTGCCAGGTGGCAATGTGCCGGTGCACACCGCCGCTTTGCCAGGACAAGCGCTCCTCAGCAGTTGATGCGGGGAGATGATCTTCTGCAAGGGTGGCACTGCTGGCATTCGGGCCAGTTGTTGCAGCTGCATCGGGCAGTCTTCCCTCACGTTCAGCTTGTGATGATGTAAGAACATGATTTGCTTCAAATGTTGTGTGGTGCATGAGTTTGGCGCATATTATGTCTTGTTGCACTTAAAGATCCTGTCCAGCTTTTTTTCCCAATCACTCATCGTTTTATGCCCTCATGGATTGTATTGCATCAAGGATCATGTACAACTCTCAAACCTTCCCAGATTGGTTTCTCATTCAGAAAAGCTTGCCAGAGCAAGCCACTGAACCGAACTTCGACACTAAAGTGGTCAAAACCGCACGACCAACTGGGTGTGGCGTCCCCTTCTCATGAGTAGCATGGTCCATCCCACAAGGTGTCTGCCTTTGAAAGTTCGAAGCCAAACCTTCCAGATTTCAAACCACAAACTTACATTATTTCCAGAGGTCAAACAAACCAGAGGCTCCTGTAAGGGGCAACGAGCAAACTGTAAGGGGCCTACCAAAGGCCTACCATGGGCCCCGTATGGGGTCTCGTTAGGGCAAAGACTTGGAGAAACAACGGGAGACAACTGCCAAACCTAGAGAGGTTGAACAACCCATGGTACCCCAGCCGTAGCCCAGATGACCCCCCGTCGAAGGTGTCTAAGTCCTACAGTATAGGTGTCTCGTGATGTCCCACCCAGGTGTAAGCCGAGGCTCTGATTGGTCTCCCAACAAACCACGTCCCTCACGTTCTCCACCTCACGTTCCAACTCCGGAGACTCCCACGTGAACCGCCGATTCTGCGACATGTCAATGATGGTCCAATGGTCCAACATTCTTGCCAACGAACACTGAAATGTGTTCCATTGGACGAGATGTCAATGATCATGACATTATCTGTTTGTGTCTGGGTGAAGGCTGAAAGTTTGGTTCTTCTGCCTTCGAGACAAGGGCAGTTCGGTTGAGGCAGTTAGGCACCAAAATTAAGCCCCTTGCAACGCCAGATCGCTCCCCACAAATCGCTCGGGGGGCTCCGCTCCAACTGTATCTGAGAGGTAAAAAATTAAACACCCTATCCGCACCCCTGTAAGATGCTGCTTCCGATGATCCTTTCGAGCTTTGGAGTTGTCAAGCAAAACTGAGGTGCCCAACGATGAAGATGATGTCCTGAGAGACTCAGGCGCCCAACACCCGACACAAAAGACAAATGGAAAGTGTTCTAAACATGATGAACACATAATTCACCCTTCTTACCCAGGACCTAAGGTGCGATGCAACTACGAAGGACAAATTATACTTATACAGTATATACAAAACCATATATATATATATACAATAAGGATGCTCCTCAACATGCTGGTCATAAGAAGCTCACACAAGATTGGTCGCAGGATGGCAAAAGTCCAAATTGCATCATATCTAACTAGGTGGGTCCATGTGGATCCCACCATGAGAGATGTTCATGGAATCAATCAACAGATCAACCCCACGTCTTGAAAGTCTATCTGGGTCGTTCAACCGGGGTACCAAAAGCGTAAACCACAATAGCCAATAGCCAAGCTTTTGCGCTAAACCCCAAGCAAAGAGCAAACAATGAGCTAACATGTGGTCCATACATGCAGGCACAAAAACTTCTCTTGTGGTTGTCTTAGGCTTCAAATGCAGCCTCCAGGGCCTCCATGTACCCAGGCCATCCGACCCCAAACGTCTTCCTACCTACCGGAGTGACAGCAAGCAACACCCATACCTTCGGTGCAAGCAGAGCGTCAGCAATCGCGAAGCCATACTGTGTAAGCACCAAACAGAAGTCGACGAGAATCTTTGCCTGAGGCCCGTTCGCACATGCAAATCTTGGGCCCTACCATGTCCCCAGAACGGATAAACATTGAAGTACCGTGGAGTACAGTGCTATACCTTGTGGGTGTGATCTATACCTGAAAACACATTCTGCGATGTTTCCGGATCTTCTGAACCCAAATTACATGCGTTCACCTCATGCGTTCCTTAGCCCTTTCCAAAAACAGGACACGAGATCCATTGGGGGGCTTGGACCAATTTGACGATGGTCGCTTCAAACATTGAACATCCAATTCAGGGGCTATGTCGAGGGTGGGTGGGTGGGTAGGTGGGTGAAAAACTGTAATATCCCTGAATGGAATGCCTATACATCCTCAAAACCCTACGCATTTATTATGAATATATTCCCAAAACTTTTATATATACATAGAAACTGACTGACCCATCAGTACAAAGGAACATATCTGTCTTGGCAGCTGCCCCACAGCTGCCCGCTTGCTCCGGCCCGCACGTCTGATCCGAACGTATCCCGTTAGCACGTGCTGATCCTTGATACCAAATGACTCGTGCTGAAGCGAACGACTCCTCTGCGGTGAACGGCGGTGAAGTGAACCTTTTGTGGCAGGTGGAGTCGTTGGTGCCATACACCGATACCCGTGGTGCAACGAAAGCATGCGACCCATATCTGCCTTGCGACCCTTAGGTCAAGAATAGTCAAAAGGTGTCGGTTGATGCCTCGGATGATGATGTTATCTGATGTTGGTCTGCCCAATTGGGGCCAGGTAACTTTTCCTCCACCAAAGGGTGACTTTCTGCAACCATTCCACTCTTGGTGCATTCCACTATTAAAAGGAAACAGCTTGTCTCCCTCTTGTCTCCCTACAGGGCGTGTCTTTCCTCTCTAATTGAAGCTGTTTCACTACGAAAGATATAGGTATGTGCCACACCAGCACAAGGTTTGGTTTTAGACCCTAAGTGAATGCAGAAAATGGGCACCACTACCCAAAAACACCAAGCAGAGCGCAGAGCGCGCGCTCTGCTTGGTGGAGATGCTCATCGAGCATCATCGACCCGAACCGAGTTGCTCGTCGCCCAAGGATGTTGCAAGCCAATGAGCCAAAGGACCTGTGAAGATTGGTCTCCAGAAGGAAAAACCAGCGGTGAGGATTGGCCGTGCCAATGAAAAGCCTTAAAAGCCGTTTGCCATTCCTGTTGCTGGGTCAAGTGGTATGTTGAGGACCTTAAGACTGTGCCAAAGGGTTCTTTCAGGTTTCGCTGCTAGCTCATTGTTTGAACACGGCAACCCCGTGATGAACTCCAAAAGTACATGCGAAAACCCAGCTGTAACTGGTAGTGCCAAAATCACGATACCTTACAACCAACAATAACATGTTGCACGCGCCCAGATCGCAGAGTCAGCCTACTGAGGCTATGCAAGTATGGCATCTTGACATGGTTGGAGATCGTGGGAGATCGTGGGAGGCTCTGGACTCCATAGATCCATGCGTTCCAAGTGCAGCTCGACGACTTGGCCGTTTTGGGTCAAAACGAAGGGGTCAACCTTGGTGGACCTAGCGGGTGGCGACCTGCACATGGTGCTCCGGGGCTCGTCCGGTCATGACCCATCCCAATCGACACATCGCCTGGTTGATTCTAAACACATCGCCGCGTCGCCTGGTGCTGGTCCTCGTGGCGAGCTTCAATAGAAGGCCCATGCCTAGGTGGGCCAATCATGTCATAGTGTTTTATCAGAACACCGGGAGTGGCATTCCTTCGCTTTGTTAACGAGACATATTTAAACACTATACTAGACTTGACTAGAAGATACTAGAAGCAACAAATTCATGAATTGGAACGCCAGCTTGGTAATTGAAGCTACTTGAGGCCAAGGGGGGGGGCGAAAGCTAGCGCTCCAGAATGGGAAAGTGGAGGGCAGCGAGGTCGGAAAAAACACGGCGCTCTTTTTGGAGGCAGGGGTGAAGAGTCCTTTATATGTGGCTCTTTGCCCGGATCCTCCTGCGAGAGAAGAGAGAGAAGAGAGACGGAAAGACGAGAGACAGAGAGGAGAGAGAGAGAGAGAGGAGAGAGAGATGAGAGAGATGAGAAAGAGATGAGAGAGATGAGAGAGACAGTGAGACAGTGAGAGAGTGAGAGTGAGAGTGAGCGAGTGCGGCTGCAAGATACGCAACGCTAACCGCATGCCAAAGAGCGACGACAGGACGGAGTCGAACTTGCGAAGAGGGAGGAAGGAGGGAGGGAAGATGGGAGGAAGACAAGGAGGAGGAGAGGGGAGGTGGGGAGAGGGGAGGTGGGGAGAGGGGAGGTGGGAAGAGGGGAGGTGGGGAGAGGGGAGGAGGGGAGGGGGGGGGGGGGGGGTCTTCGACCTGAAAAATCAGGGGTTAGGATTTGCACCCGGTCGAAAGAAACCTTGCTATCGCAAGAGTAACTCCAGCTAGCTTCGCTAGCTTTCGAGATTTGAAGCTGGAGATGGTGGGCCCACAAAAAGACATCCAACAATGATGAACCATGACCCCTAAATATGCCTGCCTGAACCCTCTGACATGGCGACCTGTAAACAGCTACCACACGGTAACCTTACAACAAAGCAGTCAACCCTTGGGCACTTGGATGGGCGGTGTAGAACCTTCGATGCTCATGGAGCGTGACACATTCAAAACGCGTGCCTTGGGTACATCGGGTGCATGTATAAGTATTTGTGTGCAATTAACAAACAAAAACACCTATGCTAGTAGCTATTAGCAAACAGGGAAAACACAACTTGTACACTCACCTTTCAGATTCTGGCCTTCATGAACAACATTAAACAACAGCCATAGCAAACTTAAATGCTCCTGTCACCGTTGTCACCCCTTCATACGTCTCATTACGTCTCCAAAAACTAGATGCTTTGGGTAGATGGGGTTCACCTGCAACACCGAGAACAACCCCACCACCCACCACATGCGCAGCCGGAGCTGCAATGATGGGACAAAGCCGCCACAAACCTCGGATGGCGTCGCCAAGGTGAGAGATTGAGGTAACTTGCAGGTTCGGAGCATTTCAGGACCTCCTTCACAGGCCATAGAAATCTGACCAAAGGCAGAATGGCCAGCTGACCTCATTCACAGGGAACTTGAGGTACTGACCATATCTGCATTGTTGTGTATTTAGCTCTGACCCAGGCTCACAAAGATATACCTAAGGCCTACCTCAGAGTCACCAAACACAAAAACGGGCAACCAAAATGTTGAGAAGCTACCAAAACTAAAAGGTTATTCTTCCATGTCCAACACCAATATACAAGTAAACATGAGGTATCTAGCCAATCTTGTTGCCTCAAAGATGTGAAGACTGTGAAGACTGTGTCCGTTCCTCCACCCGTTGCAACCCGCCTCCCCTCTTCGGCCAAGGCGCACCAAACCCAAAGGGCCAAGGATCAGTCCTCCCTTGGCCTCGGAAGACCCGATGTTTTCCAAGGAACGCACAACGACCGGTTTTTGATGTCAAGGACGCACCAACAAGACCTTACGTTATTGTGGAAACATACTTGTTGGAGTACTTGTTGGTTTAAACAGCAACTTGTGGCACAATGGTATGCACTGATTTTCACTCTACATATCATACTGTCTGCAAATCTGGTTGTTGCTATAAACATGTTTCCTCTGCAGCATGATGTAAGGTGTAATGTTCTTTCACTGTTTCTGTATACCAAAACCATGTTTGATCTCGTTGAAGCAAACTTACAATATGAATCAATATGATGGCCTGTCCTTTCTTTAAGAAGGTGGTTGTGCTCATAGATTTTTCTCGGGTGGGTCTGGTAAAACCGACCACAGGAACAACTGCCTAAGCGGGAACTGCATGTGGAGTCATAGTCGTGTCGATGTTCAGAACATGAATCCTATCATGTCTTGACATGATGATACTTGATTCATCTTGATTCTTTGCAGGGCAATGACCTGGTAATTGCAGTCTACGAGAAGACAAATAAAAAAATGTCTGGAACATCCGTCGAACGATGTGCGCTTGAAAAGGAAATCTGCTTGCTGAGGTTTGTGTTGTGTTCTTACTTGCCTGCTAGTTTGTCTAAATAAGGTGCCTGATGGTAACTGATAGTCAACACAAATACAAGCAACCAGAATGAGATATGGCAAAGTCACGTGGGGCCACGATCGAGTTTAAGTTTAAACATGATTGCTCAGTGGTTTGAGTTGGACCAATACTTTTCATGTGCAAGCACTTTTGGTGTCTACCCTACAGGTCAAACTGATCATCGACGACACTGGTCTGACAACTCTGAGAGCACTGCTGTGGCAAAAGGAAGCGTCCTTAGCTACGTACTTCGGTCCCTCAAAGGACCCAAGATGAAGGCATCTGGCTCTGACCCGAAATGAACGAACGAAAAAGTTCTCAAAAATCATCAAAACGATTTCCGGGCAGCGAAACGGGAAAATGATCTTTGCAAGCCGGGAGAGTCCAACGATGTTTTCCTCACTCATCTTTACACACACAGAACCACTCATGTCGAAACTGACAGGTTCCCACTGTGGTGGTGGTCGGGGGTCCTGTCCGGAATGGTTTCCAGTCGAGTCATTCCATGTAGGTCTTGACCACGGAAACGCCAACAAGCAGGTTAGAAGGGCGTTGCCACATTGAGTACCGAAAGCCCAGTTTTAATGTGATTGTTGTTTTGCTATGTTTTCCTGCATTTGTGTAGCGCGAAGAATCTCGTTCCATGCACCTACTCTCCTAGGCAATGTGCTTGGGGTTGCCCAGAGTCAGGACAGCGCACGTGGGTTTAGCACCTCCGTTTTCCCTTCCAACGGCAAGCTGGGCATCCATGAGAACAAGTAAAATAACCCCCATCATGTCGAGGTATCATCAGGCCATCAAAAATATCATCAGGCATCCCAAAAAATAGATATGAGCTATAAACATATATATATATATACTGTAAGCATATATGTATATATATGTATGTGTAAACAAACATATACATGTAAAATTAAATATACACAATGGGAAAGCAGGGGGTTTGTATGTGGTGGAACCCGAACATTTTCGTGTCACCGGCCTCCATCGCTGTCCACTCGCTGTCCAGCACTCCCCAGTCCGTATATTTTTCTTTTCGCAGCGGGCCAGACCTTGCGGCGGTGCCCCTCTTCACCCCAAGACGGGTCTCTGGTGGTGGGCCCAATGAGGTGCATGGCAGCCTGGCAAACCTCCACAAATCCACCTGTGAGTTCCCGTGGTGAAGAACAAAGATATTTGCCGTCTATTATCTTCCATAGTTTCTTACATAAGGCACAAGCCAAGCCAAAGTGCTCAGGGTTTTCATGTGTTGACCACTTACTAGGTCCAGTAAGTCCAGTAGCATCCCTGGGTTTTGATGTCAACCATAAGACAAACTGGGTCAAACAGGCCCAAGTATCCGACCTCCCTACAACAATTAATTGTGTCAAAGGAGGGACCCCCCCAAGTTCTACTGCCAATGTCCTATCTTTCGGATTGGATAGACTATAATAATAGAATAAAAATACATGACTTGACTTTACCAGGTGATTGGACGGTACCCTCCTCGGGATCGACAATCCATATCCAACTCACCAGAATGCTCTGCTGGTTTCTCAAGCAGAAACCATTGAGCTGCCAAGATCCAAGTCCAAGCAAACAAATCTTCACATCTTGCAAAGGTTTCCTACCACCATCTCAACACCTCCAATATGAGAGTTTGCTTATGTTTGATTGTTTGAACGTCCAATCGATGATGCTTGACCTTTAGAGGGATTTGGATATAGGGAACCATGGGGGGAAAAGTGGCGTCTCGCAAACAGGCTAGAAGGTCAGAATCCGCGACACCGCAGGAGCCTTTCAAGGCATTAAGTTCATCCCTCGATTTTGCGAGGAGCAGCACCATCTGGAGAGGGTTGTAGTCGCCAAATGTCTCTAACATTCCCTCTTCCCCTTCCAGTTGGGTTTTGCCAAACCATACCTCTCGAAACCATGGAAGTTCAGGTCAAGGCTTGAGGTGACGACTCAAAGACCCTGGGTTGTCTGATGCATTTTTGGCGTGATAAGTGCGTCCGTTTCAGACCAAAGCATCCCAACCAATCCAAACCCGTGATGTATGGGTCTCACTTCTTACTGAAGATGTATGTATCTCTCTCTGGATGAAGCTATACTACTCGGATCGTTTAACATGTAAACCCTTGTGACTATGTGTGATTCTATCGCCTGCATGAGGTCCCAAGGGGGCTTGGTTTTCAGAGGAAGTTGACAGTAGAATCCTGAGGGTCCTCATTTCTGAGTTCTTTTGAAACAGGCTTTCACTGGTTTCAGCTCAACCTGGTGCACTTGGAGGGCCTCGCCAAGTAAGAAGATTTCTCGACAACATGTTGTAAGCTTCACCACCTACCGGCCTACGGCGCTCAACTAATGTGAATAGATTAGCAAAAAAACAATGATCGGCAAAGCCAGATCACATTGGGCAACCCATGCCTTGAAAAAGGCACTGGTGCTCCTAGGAAAGAACTTGACGGAAAACCTCCAGCAGCTGTCTAATCAGTCTGTCCTTGTAATTAGAGGCATTGAACTAAATAGAAAGCAATCATTCAATGCATAGTATAGGTATGTATGAATAGATATATATATAGATAGATAGATGTATAGTTTGAATCGTGTCCCCAAATGTTCTATCTCTTTGGCTACTCCGCTACTCTAGCAGTCACTCCACTCCATTCTGCCCACTCCGCCGGCCTCAGGCTCCACGTGCCAGGCCCCAGCCCCACAAGCAATGCTCCTACCACGTGGGGAGGGAGACCCAGGCGACGCACTTCGACCCAGGCGACGCGCGAAGCAAGGTGGTCTTCCTTTGATCTGAAGGACTTCCATGTCTTCGTAGGAAGACGATCGACACCAGCAGTGGTTCAGAGATCGATGAGCAATAGGGCGGGACCACCGATCCCACCCCCTTGAGGATGTGAAAGAGGCAGGAGGGGAAGGAACCAAATCTGAAACACTTAGTACATGACGTGGAGGATATCCAACTGTTGGAGTGCGACATGGGGTTCCACATGGTTCCAGGTTGTGCAGGATGTCTTCCATCGAGGAGATCGGCGGTGTTTCAATACTCCCAAAATGGGGGATTCGGTGTGCGTGTGAGCAGCTGTAGCCCTTAAAGAGCCGGTTGCCCGGGTGCGTGCCCCGCCTGGTAGCTGCGCTTGTAGCTATCCAGTTTGGGTGGTGTGTGGGCGACAGATGTTTCGTTCGGGGATTCCCTCCCAATCCTGTTGAGCCAAATATATGTCTCTTCTACTAGACTTCTACACGGGCAGGTGAGACATAATGATGTGTTAATTTGATGCTCGAGTTGACCAAAACACGTGCCAGATTCCGTGTAGCTCCCAAACAACCAAGAACCTCATGTCTTCTTCCAACATTTCCCCATCCTCATTTCTTTGGAATGCCCCTAACAACACCGCAAAAGTCTACAGACCACAGCAATCACCACTCATCACAACGACGCGGTCGCGTTGTTCGCCAACCAAGTAAGCTCACCGCTCGGCTCCTTGGAGTAAGCGCCTCGCTGAAAGGCCTCCAAGGCCATGCCGCGGCCTGACACCGTGACACACGGCGTGGCCCGTTGCGATGGAGGCCAATCCGTTGAACACACCCTCCCAGCATCCTGAGACGCCAACTGGTTGAAGTGTTCTCAAGATTTGTTGAGTCGGTTTTGGGGGTCTGACTTTGAGACGTGGCATCGGCATCTTCCATAAGGAAGACATCCAGGAGATGGATAATGGATGTGAACATAATACAAGTAAAAGCACTGTTAACTTTGGCAGGTGACTCGTTCCCAACCTCCCTGCAAAAGTATCCAACAAAGGAACATGCGAGTAGGTGTTTATTGATCAGGTGGCCTTTTGAATGTTTGGTGGAGGGAATGCGGAGTACTTTGAACTTTGATCGCAGCCTATCACCATTGTGGTATTCAACATCTGGCCATGATGTCAGGATCTTGACAATATGTTATGTTCCAAGTACAGAAAACATAGAACACCTCCCCTGGATCAACATTCCAAGTGTGGAGTGGCAGCATGGGTGTCTCAACATCCTTCGGCCCCACCGAAGAAGCCCATAGACAGTGGAAGTTAGTATTCTGTGTAATTCTCCTAGTGTGATAGACTCTGATACACTCCCTTAAACTAACATGGAAGTGGACAACCTCCTGTTTGTAGAGGAAAATGGTCTACTTCCAAGCGGGATTGTCCACTTCCATGTCGCTGCCAGGGAGCTCAAACGTTTGTCTTTTGCGGGCTGTTTCTGGATTGGGCTCCGCACTAACAACAGGAGCTCTCTGGAAGCAGGTACTGAAATAGTGGTATGTGCACCGAAATGTGCCTTTTCACACACTCCACACGGTGCGATGATTCTCCACTCAACAGGAGCCCGCACTGCAGTAGCCGCGAAGAGCCTTTCGGGTCGGTTTGGTGAAGTGATGGTGGGGAGTGGTGGGTCGCTGATTGACTGGTCCTCTTTGGGTTGCACCACAAGTCAAAAAAAAATCGACGTGGGCCCTGTTTCCGAAGCATGCGGAGCACCAATGTCCTCCTCTGATTTATCAATGGGGGTCCCCCCTGCCTGAAGTGACCTAAAACAGACTTTAACACTGTTTTATTGGTAGTATTGGCCTTGCTTTTTGGGAACTACATGGGTAGAAATTAGATCTATATAGAAACTAGGAATCCAGCACAGCAGGAACACCAGCTGCAGCAAAGTGCAGGAATTGAGACAAATGGACAAAGAGTATTATAAAATTATAAAGATGTTTGATGCCCGTGAGAATCTTTAGCTTTGTTTAGGGTACACTTTATTTAGGGTATTGTGGCTTCAAGGGGAGTTACCCTTTCCAGACTGATTTTGATCAATTGTTGGTGGGTTTTGCAATAGGAATTTATGAAGAATGTTGATCCGAAGGCGTTGGGGTTTGGTGAGTCTAACTGATGAAATCAAGAGGGAAGGATGCAAGAAGGAATCCGGAATCCCAAGAAGGAACCAGTTATTCAAGACAATGTTTAAAGGCTAGATTGGGGATATCTAGGTCCAGGTGAAAACAGCGAAAACAGGGTGTATAGTTTAATTTGTTTTGAGATTTGCTTTGCTTTATTCAGGGTAAGTTGATAAATCATAGGTTGACATTACCATAGTTATATAGTTGGGTTCCAACTTATAGCTCCTGATTTCAGACACACGCAAGGTCCTTGATTCTCATGATTCATGTAGAGAATGAATAAGCTATGATAATACAGCCAGCTTGTACTGTCATGCAGGATGGAATACTTCATCAATGCCACCAATGGTATCCCCCAATGCCAAGCTCTTGGGATCTCGACATCCTCCAACCTCTTGGGACCAAACAATGTTGCATTGACCCCGACCTTCCTGACACCTCTTGGGACCAAAAGAACAATCTACAAATCTCTGGTGTGAGGAAGGAAAACATCTGTCAGATCCGAGAGGCCTAGTGAGGATCGAAGAAAGCGCCTTTCTCCACCATTTGCGCATGCGAGGTAAGGGGGACACGATCGATGGCTGAAGCCGACAAGCAACAAATCAATCACATGATGGTAACTTCGAACAGCACCCCCAAATTCTTGTTGATTTGGCTGCAGAAAAACATCAGAAGTGCTGAGTCGGCTTCTCTCGATCGGAATCTAGTGGAGGCACCTTTAGATCTGCCTCTGGCTTTGGGATCTTCCTTTCTACATCTAAGTTCTTCATTCTCGTCCCAAAGTGTCAACTTGGACGTTCGCAGCAGTTCCTCCAATGCTCCATTGGTTCGAGTGATGTCTGCCTTAGTGAGACCATCTGCCACCATACGTGGATGAGGAGCCCATCGCACAACACTCTTGGCCTTTTGAAGAGACTCCAGAATGATGCTCAGCTCGACTGACGTCCTTCTATCTTGCCTTGACATGGGAGACTCCTTCATCAAGGAATCGAAGAGGCTCTTGGCATCGGTGATGTGACATTGTTGTAGTCGATCGGCCAACTCACAATTTTCTCGAAGCACTGGAAAGTGAGGGGTCAAAGACTCAGTCCAGTCTTTCCTCGAAACATCTCCATTCACAATGTCTCTGATCATGATCTGGATCCATTCAACCTCCCCAAGTGACTGGCTAAAGGCCAGCGTCTCGCTTGCTAGCGTCGAAGCCACCTTCCTGCGAAGCTTGGACGAGCGCCAGCTCAGAATGCTCACCTTGGTCCTCTGTGATGCACTGGGCAACCTGTCAGCTGCCATGATGACCCAAGCGCCCTGTATGGTGTCCAGTTCTGTCGAGCCACTCGATGGCATGCTGTCCACACCTCCGGCATCTGATGCCGAGATCAAGATCATGTCCTCGTTCTTAAACCCATGTAGTACTAGTGACTGCTGAGCCGTGTTGCGAAGGTGACTGATGAGTTTGTTCAAACAGCAAATGTCGTCAATCACAGCCTCCTTGAGTCTAGAGGAAAGAATGCTCACTGCACCTGCTGCTTCTGGTCGAGTCTGATGAGCCACCCAAGCGACTTTGTACAGCATGGACCTGAAGGTCTCAAACTCCTCGGGAAGAAGCCTCGCTGATTTGTCGCCTTTGCGACCACCATGAAGCTTGATGGGGTGAAGCTTTTCGATGATGTATTTCTCCTGATTCATCTCGATTCTCCCGGGAAGAACCTTGACATGTCGACCGGCGAAGTCTGCCTCATCAAACTCCATTTTGCCAAAGCGAAACCTGCTCTCCAGAGTCTGAAGCAACTCATCTTTGAGGTTGGGACGAGCTGCTACATTCAAGTCATCAACTTCGATTAGAATCATTGCTTCAACCTCACCTCGGTCATCTCTTCTCACATACCAGCACGGTTCTAGAAGACTTCGCTCAAAACCAATCTCCTGCAGAAAACTGATCACAGTCTGATGCCATCTGATCGGAGCGTCTTCTAATCCATACACTGGTGCCACAAGTTGAATGAGGGTGCCTTTGGGAACATCCAAACCATCGCAGGCCTCCACGTACAACTTGCCTTGAGGTCGAGACAATGGCTCTGATTGACAGAATGCTTGAGTTACATCACAAAAGGTCACCGTCATCTGCATGTTGGCGCAAAGCTGAAAGAAAATGGATATGCTCTCAGTCATGGGCATAGGAGAGTATGTCGAATATGTGCCAGCATCGGGATCACAACCTAGAGGAGCGTTTGTTAAACAAAATGTCTCACAAATGATCAAACGTCAAGAATAAAAAAAATTCTTAACAAATGGCCTTTGGCCATCAAAATTAGCATGCGTTTGCATGCAAACACCAATGGAATTCTGCTTTCCAACCATCTGAAAGC